TGGAACGTCAACATCCATTCGCCGCTTACTTTTCTTTATGCCTTTTATTCACATAAAATAATTTTACTAATGTAAAGAATGAGATCCAATTTATTTCCTTAATGCTACTCCAGCGAGAAAAGCTTTATAACTACAACATTTAGTAAACAATAGATTTGTATATTAATATATTTCTTTTAAATAAACTAACAAGATTTACTTAAAGGATATTAGAAAGGATTGACATTTCATAAGTCAATTCGTCTCTCACCTGAGTCTCGATAAATGTCAGTCAGCTCTTCATATGTTTGGTTTGTTAAATTTCCTGGTCCAACCAAAGAAATTTGCATAAGGCAATCAAGTGCAATTATACTAAGCCGATTTCTTTGTTTTGAATGTATTAAGTTTAGCATAGAAAACTAGGTGGTATGAGTAGTGACAATTTAAATATCTTCATTATATCATAGTACTGCTCACACACATAATCGGTACGGAAAACAGTTTAAATAGCATCACTTTTTATCGGGTGTTCGTGCTTATAAATATCAATGCTACTACTCTTTAATTTGCCTTCTTTTACTAAAACTTGAAATTTTAGGTTACTTTTCGTTTCAAGGTTACATAAGATTTCTCTATAATCAGAGAGAAAATGATGGATACCGTCTTCATTATCTTGAATAGGATTAAACAACAGTGGTGCAATAATATTTTCGCCGTCGATGACAGCAGGTTTTGCATGGCCATAAAATTGTGAAAGTTTACTAATGTTAGCTGAAAATTTGTTGGAATCTTGATTTTCACCAGTTGCATTAAATGCATCAAAGGCCAAAAATACATCGTCATTAATTCGGATTGCTGCATCAATTTCTTCTTTTAATCTCCTCATGAATGGCACTTTCTTCAAAAACTCATCATTTTTTTCTGGTGTTGACATCGTGTTAAACAAATTATTTTTTCTTAATCGACGTGTTACTCATTAACGCTCTTTAGATATATTGAGAAACTTATTTAAATGAGTGTTAAACAATGGACTTTTACCACTGGCTATATCGTTAAGCTCATTTTTTAAAAGGTCTAACTTTAAGTTTATCTTTGAGTAGATTAGGTTTCGCGTTTGTAAAAACTTTGCAAATTTATTTATTGTTACTAAAACATCAGCCAGTAAAAGCAAAAATAGTATAATAAAAGGAACAAGTAATTGATATGTTAAACCGACCCGCTTCGCACCGTACTTCTTATTAACAATTGTATCAAGGCTGTTTATAACTTGCTCAAATCTTGAAACGAGTTGTACTGAAGAAGCGCCATAAGATAACCAGTGCGTTGGAGCAGCTTTAAGTAACTTTTTGTGCTGCATCAAATAATAAGACCTTTACGCAAGAATATTTCATGGCTTTCCAAACTCCCAAGATATTAGCATCAACGCTAACTAGGACATCAAATTCTTTCATTAAGTGTACACACACAAGAGCTAAACAATGACAACGACAGTTAATGTACATTGAGTGAGGAGAAATTTTTTTTAGCTTAGCTTGTAAACCATTACGCACCCCACTCATTGTGTTAGTTCCATCAAAGCCATAGAAGCGCAGTTGTTGGATATCTATCGATTTAGATTTTAAAACTAGTTGTATTTGTTCACATAAATTTGCGCATCTTTTCTTCCAATAACTTGGACTAAACCAAGAAACATTTCTTCAATAGTATGAGAATCAGAATCAACATATCTAATGAAAACAGAAAAGACAGTCTTATCTGCCACGTCACTGGTCTCATCAGCAAGAACACTTAAGTCATGGGCCAAAATAATTTTTATGCAAACCTCATTGTCTAATTTATTACTAATTATTTTGACGAACTGATCACTAGTTGATGATGTGTTTGCCGCTTGTTTGCTAGCAATTTTAAAGTGTGAATCTATCTCCTTATCGCCAAGATCTCGAATAAATTCAACGATATCACTAAAGTTTTCCCGGACTGCCCAGTTCTTTTTAATTACAAAATAAACAGTTTTTTTGACTTTTGTCCAGAATTTGCATTGTTATTTTTATTGTGGAAAGATCTGCATGTGGACAAATTTTTGTCATGGCTTCTACAAGATGGCTTTGGTCGACCCATATTACGTAAGTTAAACGTACTATACAAACTTTTCCAAACAATATTTTATTAATTAAAGTTTATAAAGACAAAAAGCATTATAACATTGCAAGGTCCTTAATTTATTCATAACACAGGCATAGGTCATTCAAAAGTTAATAACTTTTTTTCTTCTCTTATTTCAAAATGTAATAACTTTTTTTATTCTTCTCTTAAATCAAGTTTTTTGGCGTTATTATTTTATTACGTTTAAAAAAAGTTTTATTTATTTTATAACTTAAACCAGTTTATTTACATTTTTACTGCAATTTTACTATTATTTAAAATGATAAAGTTTAAAGCGTTTCAAGAGTTTAATCGAACTGTAAATTATTATTAGTTATCAAAATGTAAGCAGACGAGAAACTCATTTTAAGTATATTTTTTTCAAGTTAATTTTTTTATGGAAGAAATTATAAAAATATATAATGCATTTTTTATTATAATCCAAACAAAATGTGCATTTTACATTTTAATCCAATAGTAATGTATCCATATTTCATCCGCGTGAATTATCGAATTTCGACACCGGTTAAATAAATTCCCGTTTGGCGTGAAAACTGACGTTTGATCTCGTTGCAACGCATTTTTGTATTTTTATAACGGTTTTTATTTTAATGATTTTTAAATATATGGCTGAATGATTGCCGAATGGCATGAAACTTGAAGTCCCATAAAAAAGTCGTATTTTTTTTCATTTAAATATTTAATATATATATATATATATATATATATATATATATATATATATATATATATATATATATATATATATATATATATATATAATATATATATATATATATATATATATATATATATATATATGGGCAATTCCATTTTTAACTTACGTGCAACAACTTTATCAAATATTTGCCTATTTAAACTGTAAATTAAACTTTTGGCTATTTTGTATGAAAGCTGTTAGTCCAAAGAATAAAATAGGCTGGAAAGTTTTGAGTCTGGCCAAAACAGGGCAAACTTATTACAAAAAATGCCACTTAACATTACACAGAAAACAAGGTAAAAAAATTGATTCAACTTTTAGGTCAGATTTCTGCAAATTAGTAAAGCAGTTTGTATTAGAAACTTTAACAAGATGTTGAGAATTCTATACCCATTTAAAAATATATAAAAATTTATCAGAGGTTACTGCCTGAGAAAAATAAACTGTTTTTTGATACTAAGTATTTACAGGCCTTGCGATAAAGCGTCGGGAGATGTGAATTTTACGTCGTCCAAGAGCGATTTTGCGTGTAGCTAGGGCTATTTGCGTCGAGGAAAAAAATTTTTGTTTGAGTATGTTTAAAGATATTTTTGAGCGGAATTTTAATGAAGTAATTTACGATTATTTTAACATTTAATAAAGTATTTTAAAAACCGCACACTGTTGATATAAAAGTTTGAATTAAACAAAAAATTAAATATGCTCATTATTTACAAGTAGAAAAAATTCAGATAAAAAAAAAGTTTAAATCTTTTTAAGCCAACATTTTAATAAATTATTCACCAATAGCAAAGTTGTCGATAAAATTGAACAAAAATACTTTCTTTTAGTTTTAGATTTTTAACTTAAACAATTATTTTACAGGGGTTTGTTAGGTTTTAAAATTATTCAATAGATTTAAAAATATTTATTAACTGCTAGACGTATTTAAAGTATTTAAGAGTAATTTCGAGGAAATATTTTAAAAATTGGTAAGCACAAATAAAAAAAAATAAAAGGATTAATATTAAAACGTATTCTACTTGATTCAATAAATAAGTACAGCTATTAAAATTTTTGTAAAAAGTAACTCTAAAAAAAAATTACTTAAATAATAACAATCGCTTTTTTGTTAGAAGTTACCGAAACTCAACGAAGCGTGCTCAAGAACAGCTGCTGAAAAATGGAACGCCAGTAGTTTTTCAAATAATTTTTAATAACAATTTTTAAGTATAATTTTTTTGCTGAAATATGTCTTTTATACCTATAAGATTTTTATTCTAACATTTTCTTTTATTTTATTTTACCAAAAATAAAATTCCTTGTAAACATTAAAAATCTATTCAAAACGTTCGTTAAAGTTTTTTAGCTTAAATTATTTTTTGTTGTATTTTATTCAAATGATCCTAATTTTGGGCTGAGAAAAAAGAAAATAACAACAAATAATTTTTATTAGCTCTAGTTTCTGAGATATTAAATTGAAATAAATTTTTATTTCAGTTGATTTTCAACAGAACAATGACATATAATTTGCATATTTTAATAACATTTAAAGTACATTTGGTTTTTTTTTTTTTATTATAGATATATTTTAATAGTTTTAAACAAAGAAATCATGATCATCAAGTTAATAGGTGATTATGGGGGTATCGTCACGAGATCGTGATCCTTTTGCTTTATTTATTATTTTATCTTTACTTTTAGATTATTTATTTCTTTTATGTAAATAGTTATTAGGTTATTTATTTCTTTTACATGTTATGTAAATAAAGTGTTTACTACCTTTAGAAATTTATAAAATAGTTATCTAAAAAATTTCAAGAAGTTAAAGGCCAAATAATTAGGGTCTAGATAAAAAAAAATTAAACTTAAAAAAATAAATAATGCAAAAATAAATTATTAAATAATATAAAAAATATGTTAAGTGTAAAAACTCAAATACTACAAAATAATATATTAAAAACTAATTATCAAATAATTAAGGTGAATCAAGGTGAAGTGTTTAAAGTACATTACCATCTTTAGAAGGAAATAATAGAATTGTGTTAGGTCTGTCAAGAACATCATGAACCTCAGGAAATTTGTGTGCAGGAAATCGCTTTCCTCTGTAGACTTTGCATTTATCTTTTGGAATACATTCTTGAAGTAATGGAACTGTAGTCAGTTGACGAAAATCTTGCTACAATAAAAAGTTTATTTATGGTCATACATACATAATTACATACTTTCCCAGGAGATGCAACTGTGGTTTTCTGTTTTGTTTGACCAAATAGACGAAATAGTTTTTTATTTAGACTATTTGGTCACAGCTGTTTTTAAGTTTTATTTATTGTTTCAAAAACAAAGAAAGCAAAACTAACAAAATAAAAAATTAAAATAAATTTAAGACTCCCCCCCTCCCCCAACACTTATTTATGTAAACTTGAAACTGTTTTTTTTTTTGATAAAATATATTTTAACAATATATATTTGTTACATTAAAATTGTACAAGTATATTTTACCAACAGATAGTTTCTTTCTTTCAAATATATTTGTATAATTTTAATGTAACAAATATATATTGACCCTATATGAATATGTCTCTGTAATGTATGCGTATATTTTAATATACGTTGGTTTGTTTAATTATGCATATATACATATCTACTAGGCAGCCGTTTTTCAAAATGCCTTAATCTGCTTATTATGCATTTCGAGAAAAACGCAATTAAAAAAAAATTATTAGGAGAAAGTCTTTGTAAATTATTTTTTGAAACTAATAATTTTTATGAATTTTTTTAGAACTTTTTGAAAATATGTATTCAATAACGTTTGTAGACATCTAAACTAGCTTATTTTGTAAAAAAGTCAGTAAAAATATATGCAAAAAAAGAATTTTGCGCAAATACGCACAAAAATAAGTTGTTGTTTTTTTGCATAAATTATGCGAAACCTTTTTTAATTTAAGCAACAATTATGTAAAAACCAGAGTACACAACAATCTAAAAAAAAATCTGCACCATTATTATCACAAGAGAAAAGAACTAATTGAGGCATTTTTTAGGGTATTTTGCCACTTGAGCAGAAAGTAAATGTCAATATTTTTGTAATTTTTTTGTAATTGTATTTTTTTTATATTTGCTCTAAATTTTAATGTAACAAGTAAATGTATTGCAAAAAAAAATCTTTTGAAATAATAAATTTAATAACAACCACTCTAAAAAAATGAAAACAAAAAATATGCAAAACTATTTAAATTGTTAATTTTATTCATTTTTATCAATTTTAAATTATTTCAACTTCTTATTTTGTTAGTTATGCTTTCTTAGCTTTTGTGGCAAATTATTGAAATGCCTAATAAATAAAATTTACTGCTGTAACTGCTGTAACCTTTGAAAAAGTTGTATAAATAAACATCTTTTTAGTGGACCAGCAAAGCAGAAAATTGGAAAGGCTTGTACATACATACATATATACATACATAGATGTATGTATGACATATATACATACATGGATGTATTAATATAAGTATGGATGAATGTATGTATGTATGTAACTATATATACATATATGGATGTATGTATGTATGTTTTCATTTATTTAATTCACCTCTACAAGAATCCAGAGGGGGCCTACTACTCTGACTAAACTCTACTCACTACTCAACTACTACTCTATGTTACTACTCTCTTTACTATCAGGGCTTTGGAGCCAAGATCTGAAAATTGGCTCCAGCTCGAGGCTCTGGCTCCATTAGAATTTTTAGCTCCAGCTCCAGAGCAGCTCCGCAAAAATATCTAAAAATATTTTTATTGTTTTATGACAGTAACTTAAATACTATTAATATTTTATTAATCAAAATCTTGATTCATCCTCAAAAATAATATATTGACTAAAATATCAGGTTTAAGTAAAGAACGCAGATTGGATTCCTTGAAGAAATCTCGCAAAAATGACTCAACTCATCCCATATTTCAGGGGGTAGAAAGATTGTCTGATCAACTCCAGCAAATTGCTCATACCTGGGGCAAAAGTAATAATTGTTCAATCATTCGGAATGTAAAACCCCAGTGTGTCCAATTATTCATAATTGGATAATGAGACACACTGGGGTTACTAACACACTAAACTACCTTGTATTGCTTTTTTGCTAATGATAATGTACATGAGTTTCTCAGTTTCTTTACAACATAATGGACTTTTGCCAAAAGTTGGGCAATATATGTTGTTGTTTTTAAAGCATCACAAACAGCTAACTGCGAGTGTTAATAACACAGAGCATCAGCTTAATCTCATGAGACAATTAATGAAATCATTCTGAGAAGGACAAAAGGTAGATTTTCTTCCCAAGCTGATGCACTTTTTCCTCATTTGTTGTAAAAACTCCTCTTGTTCTTTTAAAAATTTTCAATTTTAAATGAATATTCATTTAAAAGTGTGATTGCTCTAATAATGTTGGCTGCATTGTCTACACTTGCACATACCATTTGATCTTTGCTGATACCAAATCTATATAGAGTTTCTTCAACCTTTTTTTAATAGCAGCAGAGTTGTACTGTCCTTCTGTATCTATCAGTGCAAAAGTTTTAACTTAATTTTTTCCGCATAATAATATTGAACAATTATTTCCAAATAGTTCTTTTGGTGTTGAGTGACTGCATCTCTTTTCACATAAATAAATTTCAGCTTTCTTTTTTTTTTCAGCAATTTCATTAATTAAATTGCATATAGAATCGAGTTCAGTACTGAATCCAAGAGTTTTACCTAAATGGCCTGTAACCAACTGAAATCTTTCATCCACAAATGTTTTCAACAAAATTCCATTATTGTTCTACTACTAGAGATAGCAAAAGAATCTAATGTAGTCTGATTCAACAATTTTGTATTCTGAAAGATATGATCTTTCCAAATGTCATTTCATATTATAAATTTTTTATTTTTTTATTTGCATGACGTATAAAATCACTTTATCATTTATCTTTTCTGTAATCTTGCATTTAGCCAATATTGTAATTTTATCAATTGAAAAATACTTATCTAGAAACCTCTAAGGATTGTTTGAATTAACACATAGATAAAGTATATTTTTGTTAACCAATCATTGACATTGTTTAGAAGTATTGTTTTAAAATAACTTATCATACTCAGCAATATGAACCACATGACATATTACACAAAATAATTGGATAAAAATTAAATTCTTAAAATATGCTTATGATTTTTTAATGATGTAACAAAAAAAAATTTTCCCTGTTTGTTAAAATGTTTTTATGTTTCTTATTTAATTTGAGTATACTGAGTCTGAATATGACATTGGTTTCTTTATTGCATAAATCGTTTGATTATAAAACCAAAAATTCAATTGAATATATAAATAATATTAATCATATTGCATGAGATTTAGCTCAAAAATTATGTTATGTTACAAACCATTATGTTACATCACGTTACATACATTTATTACAAAATGTTATATTATGTTGTAATGTAATAGTCTCTCGAAATTTTAAAAAAACACTAGAAGTGAACAGCAGAACATGGTTTTTCTTTAAGAAATTTGTTGTCATTACGTATCAAACATCAGATGTAGTCACCCATCATAGCTGCATCCCATCTGTCCTGGTATCTTTTTTACATTGCACGGATACTCTGATGAAAATGTTCTTCATGCTCTTCACTCACATCACCTAAACTTGGTCTGAAAAATTCCAAGTGTGAATGCAGGTAACGCAGCTTTATTGACATTCTGCATTTCATATCTGCATACCAAACAATTAAGTTTTCCACTAGCTCTTTGTAGTTATCACTTATTGTTGCCTAAAAAACTATGAAGATGTCTAAACGCAATCCATACTTTTTTTTCAACAGCAATCATTTTGCCCTCCAGCTCCTTACATGCCAACATACCTTTAATCTGCGGACCAAGGAATAAACCTGCTAAAAGTTTTGCATCTGACACCTTTGGAAACATCTGCCAAATATGCTGGAACGCTGCATTCGCTGGGTTTAATGCTTTTAAAAGTTGTTTGACAAGACCTAGTTTACTGTGAAGGGGTGGTAGTAAGATCTTCTCAACAGGTATCAGGGATTGATTAACAACATTGTGCGAACTAGGCTGTAAATGTTCTCTCACTGGCCACTTATATCTCGTGCTGGTCCACAGCCCTCCTATCCCATAAACAAAGAAAATATGAGTACTTTGTGTATCCTATTTGTAGACTGAGAAGAAATGCTAGCATCTTAAATTCTCCACATACATCTCACTTGTAACTGTCATAGTTGATTTTCTCAAGCAACAACTTTACATTCTTGTAGTCTTTCTTTAGATAAATGGAATGAGCTACTGGAATCGAAGGAAATCAGTTTCTGTTATAGAGCAAAAGTGCCTTTAGACTTCTTGTTGAACTGCCAATGAGTAACCTCCACACTTCAGGAATGTGAACAATGCCAATGTCATCGAAAAGACCCAAGAGAAAAACAAATCCATGAGCCACTGTTGAACATTTTACATTCTCTCCGCTAAGCCACTTGTGGCTTAGCGGAGAGAATGTAAAATCAGCATGTATATATATAATGTTATAAACACATTACACATAAACAAAAGTCCTGAAATATACTTAATGTTTTTTCTCAGGAAATCTTGATTATAGAGCAAAATCAATGGTACCATTGAAATCACCATACCAAAATAATGTAAGAAAAATTAAAAATTAATATAAACAAAAATGTTGTTACATTGTGTATTTTATAAGCTCAATAATTTTTCAAAATATGAAAATCATATTTTAAAAATGTGTCTTTGTGCCTGATGTTGCGTATCTATTATTTAACAGTTATATATATATATATATATATATATATATATATATATATATATATATATATATATATAATATATATATATATATATATATATATATATTAGGGGGAGTCAAATAAAAAGTAAATTTTCTTAACAAAAAAACTTCTTTTGACCACTTTTGACCCCCCCCCCCCTCAAGCCCAAAATTTAGGGAAAAAAGGCCAGAAAAAAGGCCATTTTCGAGCGTCTTGAGGAAGGAGTTATGTATACTTATATATATATTAGAAATGAGTGAATATAAACTGAGGTCAATGAAAAAGGAACACTTTATTATAAAAGAGGCAAAACCAGCTATATCAGATAGAAAATTTTTTTTTAATACTGGAATTAGTAATGA